CAGCCGGCATTTGTTTGTACATGCTAAGTTTATGTGCAGAGTATTTCATTCTCCATTTTATTATCTCAGTTTTATCGCTCCCACCTCACCGTCTTTTTCTTCTTCTTTATTGCCACCGGCTCTTTTTTTTTTCTAAGCATGTTAGCGGAAAAGAATCACCTCTGGTTAACTTTTTTGCATTTCCATTAATTTTCGTTCCCTACTATCATGTTCTAATTTAATATACTACCTCACTTCAGAAAAGGGTAGGCACATGGTGTTCTCGCCGGCTAACCTCGCCATATTTTCCCAATTAATCAGCATCTTTTCAGTCTTCGAATAAGCTTCAGAATAATTTTAATGCGCACGTCCCACCGCGGCGGTCTAGTGGCTAAGGTACTCGGCTGCTGACCCGCAGGTCGCGGGATCGAATCCCGGCTGCGGCAGCTGCATTTCCGATGGAGGCGGAAATGTTGTAGGACCGTGTGCTCAGATTTAGGTGCACGTTAAAGAACCCCAGGTGGTCGAAATTTCCGGAGCCCTCCACAACGGCGTCTCTCATAATCATATGGTGGTTTGGGGACGTTAAACCCCACATATCATTTTTAATGCGCGCCTTTAGTTTGATTTCTCGCTACAGAATAGTTTTGTCACCAATTAGTCCATATCATGAGTCATGAGTGACCTAGAGACCGCATTATAGACAAATGTCTATTTTGTTTCTTGCGTTTCTTTTGTGCCACTTTTATATATGAGCATGAATTGGAAGTTAAGAAGAGCTTTTGATTGTTTTTATAGTGACTATAAATGCCTATTTCTGGCGGTATTGCCTAAATTTTTATAAGTGTCTACAAATGTGTATTGTCAAAATCAGTGCCTGTGTATGAATGCTATTTAACCTCAAATTTTGTTTTTGAGTACAGTTGGAGACCGATGTTCATGTTGCCGGGCAAATTTAAGCTTTCAGGTTTCTATGGGGTCCAACCTATGCTCCATCTCATAAGTTCGTTTCAGCACTGCTAGGGCTACAAGGCCTCTTAGCCAATACGAAGGCTGATTAGCCTCTCCACTTATATACATCCACATCGCGTCGTGTGCACGACATATCCACGGCGTCTGCTCGCATGCATATGGAACAGGAGGTGCTTCTGTGAATCCGCAGGACGATGAAGAACAAATGCGAAACCGTGGAGCATCATCAGGGGAACGTAGAGTGTTAAAAAAAGAGATGTACCCATGAGTTTTGTATTGTTTGTCATTTACTTCCTAAACGGTGCTTGACTAGATCACACAAAAAATTTTACTTTATATAGTAGATTCTGCCCTACTTCGGTATCGGAGCAACTTGCAGCCGGAATATTACATGACCCAGACACATCAACATGTCACGCGCCCGTGAGGTCACATTCGCATGACATTCCCATGCCAGGTCGTGCACGCTGGCGGTGTTGTGTCGTTTTGACGTTCTCTGTATTGTACTGCCGTTTCTGTTGTGTGGATCCCTCTATGTGCGCACGTTTGGAGAGACTAGCATGGATCATGCATTCTTACCACGATACATATACATATAGCGTCGCACCGCTGCAGCTGCTCTAAGCAACGATGCACCGAAAACATGCCAAGCGCTGCGAATGCCGGCGCCGAGATGATGCGAGAACGGCGAGAACACCAACGCAAACGAAATGGAGGCAGCTTGGTCTCGCGTCTCGCTCGATACCAGGTTATAAAAATGTAACGCGCACAAATTCCGTTTGTATGCTTTAATATTTCTGTCAACCTACGTTCTTCTGTTCAGGCAACAGATTGCACAAATTACATACGTCGCCTCGAATGATTCTCGCACTGTTACGTACAACGTTCACGTACGCAGGACCATTCATTGTTGTATACGTCACCTCCACCAAGATGGGGCCGCGCCCGTGATACAAGGTCATGCGGCGTTCAGTATGACATCTCTCCTCTTTGCACGGCGCGTAGCATTGCGAATGTTAGCAGATCACATCGTGAGCGCCCAGCGCACGCGTTCCTCTTGCCTGCTCGCAATTTCGTAACCTGGTGAAGGGTCCTTTAGGGTGTTCCCAGACAGAAGAAAAGCTGACCTTGTGAGGTTAGACCAAAATATTACGAGGCAAAAAGATCCGTCTGGTCTTTCAGCGCTCTGGCTATTCGCTCTTGTGGTGCCCTTCTCAGCCATGCCGAAAAGAGACCCTGGAGTGTGTTTATTCAACTATGGATACTTAACTCACCTGATGCAGTGGAGTAGGAGATACCGTATTACGCAAACTCTGCGGGAAACAAAATTGCATGACTACACTGAATCGTTGGGGCTTTCGTACCATCATAAACTAAAACATTTCTCTTTGATTTCCAGTCGTATACACAGATCCCACACGTATTTCTGTAAAAATTTGAACTTTGATAAAATTTATTGTGCCTATACTTATGATTTTGGGGACCTAAAAGAGTGTTTTGTCCACCTATTTTCGGTGCCTAAAACCTGTTTTTTAGTGCCTTTAAATCC